TCTTCTTCTTCTTCTTCTTCTTCTTCTTCTTCTTCTTCTTCTTCTTCTTCTTCACGGTACAAAATTCACGGCCTCAATTCAATTCGGCAGAAACATACTCTGCTCTGAATAGATGTATCATCCCACGCATGTTGTACCCCCGCCCCCTTCCCCAACCAACCCCCTCTCCCCTCAACCAACCCCCTCTCCACCCTCACCGTAATCTCCGTGTGGTTTCCCGCCTTTCTGTGTGACATCAACACGGGACGCAATTTCCCAGCGGAAGTGGAAGTCACAGCAGACGACATGCCCCGCACTGAAGACGACATCCCGTCTGCTGGAAGAACGGCAGTGAGGGGGCTTCGCGGAGACGGAACGATCAAACACGCAAGGGCGAAGTGGAGGCGAGTTTAAACAAACCGGGGAAATAGAAAGTCTTCGATTTTAATGAGAAGCTACCAGATCTTTCCTGTGACGTCCCTTTGAGAAGGCGGAAGGGGCTCCCCGAGACATGGATCGATTCTAAGGAAAATTGTTTTAAGACCAGGGAATTTAATCTAAAGGTCTGACCCCAGATAGCTTTGCTTGTTTGGCGTTGTCTTCAAAGACACTCTCGACTCAAAAGTGTTTCCTGATTCGTATAAAATAGTCAAGTGGAAAAAAAATATCTGTCCTCCACGACTCTCTCCCCCTCCTTCACCCCTCCCTTCCTTCATCCCTCATCCTACTTCTACAATTTAACAAAAAGTTAATAGGTTTCTCAACTGGAAGACGTTTATAATCTAAGGCCGGTCATGAAAGAACAACAGACGGGAGCAGTCAGGCATACATTCATTTGTGAAATTCCTTTTTGAAGTATTACTTCTGCTTTATTTTCTTATTTTTCTTCCGGCATGTTAACAGCCCACTGGTGTCGCGACCTGGTGTGAGTTCGATTCTGGGACGAATTGTTACGAAGCTTAAAAAAGGGTATCTCTATCTGTCTACACCTCTAGCGTTGACCAGATTCTGATGACAAGGACATGTGGTTACATGAGGGAGGCATTGCGCTGCCAACAGCAAAATGCTAGCAGCTAAAGTGATTTGAAAACAACAGCAACATCTGTCTAGAGAGATCTTGTATCCTACGCAGCCTGGATTGACAGGGTCGAAGCAGCCGCCTCCCAAGTGATCCAAGTTAAGTTGTTTGGAGCATAACTCATAATTTACAATTATCAATGGGCAGAGCCCTCTGCTTGGAAATATCATTATCTGTATGTGTGTAGTGGGATGTTCAACCCCTTTCAAAAACTCAATCAAGCGAAATGTATTTTTAGACTGATAAAGCTACAACTGGAAGTTGTTGAGGCCACAACTATTGTGGCACAGATGATTGTAAACTTGGACAATTCATTCAAGCCTGCGGTATAAATAATTATTCTTGTCCTTTGCGGAAGGCATATCTATTCCATAATAACCTTAACTAGCCAACATCTGTAGATTAATTTTTAATCTTTTCATCCTACACTGGAAAGACAGGGGTTCGATTCCCCCGAGGAAAGTGTATTCAACAACGTTTACAACGTCTATAGCGTAAACAATTAACACCACCCCCAGCGTCAGCACCAGAGCCAGCGTAAGCATAAACAGCAACAGCAGCAGCACCACCACCGCCACCACCATGACCATCACACCACTACCTCACCACACCGTACCACACCACTCCCCACCACTACCACTACCACCACACCAACGCCATCAACATCAACATAAACACCAACACAACCACCACCATGACTATCTCTACACAACTACCTCACCACACTGTACCACACCAAACACCACCACCCCACCACACCACACCACAAAACACCACACCACACCACACCACAC